AGTATTGTATTCTTTCCACTCATTTTAAATATAAAGCACTTTATAAAACTACGATAAACAAACAATTTATTACATGTTTCGACATTTACGCGATTATAAAACTACGATTTTAATTTAATAATATAAAACTACGATTAACAATTTATCATACGTTTTTAAATTTACGCGTTTACTTTTTGACAGCTTTTAGACAGATTTTGGACATAACCATCAAATATTTTAGACAGATTTTGGACCTAACCATCAAATATTTTAGTAAGCTGCGTTGCAAAGAATTAATTTTGAGTATGAGGAAATACAACATTTTCGTTAATATGGAAAGCAATGTAGAGGGCGGAAGATTACCTTTAATATGATTCTGCTTTCTTACACACATTAGCTATATAAAAAGGCATATTTTGGCAGGTATTGCGTTTTTAAATTCCAGATTTTAATTTTTCGGCCCACCCTAATATATATATATATATATATATATATATATATATATATATATATATATATGTATATATATATATATATGTATATGAGGCAAAACACCTCAAGTGTTCCCACCTAAAAATGATGTTGTCTCCGATTTTAACAAAACTTTGCCAAATAATTGTCCTATTGGACTACCTTAATTTTTCAAATGGGGGGCAAAAAGGATTAGCGGGTTGCAGAGATACAGGGACCTGAAAATTTAATTTTTTTCTCGTGCGCTTAAAAGATGTCGAAATATTCATATATATAATAATTTTTTTTAAATTGATAATCAACATATCGTATAACATTTTTTCCACGCTTTACGATAAAAATGGTCTCGAAAGCGAGAAAAATTTTTTGGTTATAAAAAAACCATTTTAAAAATATATTTGTTTTTTTATCAAAATGCGACAAATTGGATTTTTTAAAAATTAATATCAAAAGAAAGCTTTTTCAATTCCCTAAATTTTGATGTAATATGAAGATGGGATCCCAAGAATAAATCGAAAAAAATAAGGGTTGAAGCGCGTGCGGTGAGCAGCTACTATAGTATATACTATATAGTATATACTACTTAGTGGATTAATTGGAGAGGGTCAATACAACTTTTAAAATTATTTTTATATAGAAATAAATGTATTTTTCGATGGGTTTAAGTCAAAACAGCACAAGCGCCAAATTTTTTTTTTTAGAAGAAGGTCGATAGAGAATTTAATTCTCTATCGACCTGCAGGTACATGTACTTCTAACAAATTTAAAATTTTTGGCGCTTGTGTCGTTTTGCCTTAAACTTATCGATTTTATTGCAATAGTTCAAATTAATAGCAATTAAAACCCATGTTTTGGTTTTTGTAGTCGAAAAATAAAAATGTAGAAAGTAATAAGTTGCTCTTACTATAATAATATAATATATAAATATAATAATATAATAAATTACACTTGCACGTAAATGTAAATAAGTTCTACTATTTAATGCAATTGCAAGTGTCTCACAATTATAATAAACATTTTTCATACAACTTTTTATTGAACATTTTACCTATTTTTTATTTTTGGGAAAAATATCATATTCGTTAGCAAACGATATTTTAAGTACAAAATTCCTTTTCCGTTAGGAACTAATGAGTGATATTTCTGTGTCCCAGGAATTGATTTTGTAGAATCAAATCGCTTTTTAAGAATAATTTACAAACTGGAGATCTTCTTGTATTGTGCGACTCATGCGGCTCAGTCATTTCATTGGAATAATGACCAAGTTACGATTTTCACAACCGTTATTTATTACAAGGAAAATGAAAAACTTCATTAGTAAAATTTATCGGATTGCCTCAAGCATGACACTGTCGCAGTTTATGATTTCCAGAAAATTCTGATGAATTATTTAAAACAAAATTTTATACCTAAAAAATGTTTTTATTTTACTGAGGGCGCCGCACAACATTTCAAAAACAAGTACAACTTTAAAAATCTTATGCAATATGAAACAGATTTTGGTATTTCAGCCGAGTGGCACTTTAATGCACACGGTAAAGGCCTCTGTGATGGCATTGGTGGGAATTTAAAAAGACTCGCTGCCCGCGCAAGTTTGCAGCAAAATCAAAAAATCCAATTCTAGATGCCAAAGATTTGTATGAATAGGCTCAAAAAAGTTTTAAAGAAACAAAAGTATTTTTCATTCTGAAAAATATCATATGAAAACAGCAGAAATTCTTAAAAAGCGATTTGATATTGAAAAATTAATTCCTGGGACACAGAAATATCACTCATTTGTTCCTAACGGAAAAGGAATTTTAAACTTTTCCCAAAAATAAAAAATAGGTTAAAAAGTTTACATGAAAAAGGTGTATTATTATTGTGAGACACTTGCAATTGCATTAAATAGTAGAACTTATTTACATTTACGTGCACGTGTAATTTTTATTCAGAGTAAGAGCAACTTACTTACTATTACTTTCTACATTTTTCTTTTTCGACTACAAAAACCAAAACATTGGTTTTAATTGCTATTAATTTGAAATATTGCAATAAAATCGATGAGTTTAAGGTAAAACGACACAAGCGCCAAAAATTTTAAATTTGTTAGAAGTACATGTACCTGCAGGTCGATAGAGAATTAAATTAAATTAAGACCTTCTAAAAAAAAAAATTTGGCGCTTGTGCTGTTTTGACTTAAACCCATCGAAAAATACATTTATATATTGTATATAAAAATAAGTTTAAAAGTTTTATTGACCCTCTCCAATTAATCCACTAAGTAGTAGACCGAGCACCGCTGCAATAGGTATACTATTATAGTATAATAATAGTAGCTGCTTGCCGCACGGCCCCTACGCGCTTTAACCATTATTTTTTTCGACTTATTCTTGGGAACCCATCTTCATATTACATCAAAATATAGGGAATTAAAAAGCTTTCTTTTGATATTAATTTTTAAAAAATCCAATGGGTCGCATTTTGAGAAAAAAAACAAATATATTTTTAAAATCGTTTTTTTATAACCAAAAAATTTTTTCTCGCTTTCGAGACCATTTTTATCGTAAAGCGAGGAAAAAATGCTATACAATATGTTGATTATTAATTTAAAAAAAATTATTATATAGGTACATGAATATTTCAACGTCTTTTAAGCGTATGAAAAAAAAAATTTCAGGCCCCTGTATCTCTGCAACCCGCTAATCCTTTTTGCCCCCCATTTGGAAAATTAAGGTAGTCCAATAGGACAATGATTTGGCAAAGTTTTGTTAAATTCGGAGAAAACATCATTTTTAGGTGGGAACACTTGAGGTGTTTTGCCCCATATATAAATATATATGTATAAATATATATATATAATATATATATATATATATATATATATAATTGTAAATTATTATATTTAATTGTATATAATTATAATATAATTATATACAATTAAATATATTATATATTATATTATATATATATATTATATATTATTATTATTATATTATATATATTATATTATACAATTATTTATAAATTTTATATAATGATATACAATTAGATAAAATCTTTTTTTTATCGGGTAGGTAATTTCCAGTCTCTCCGCAATAGAATAAACAATTTTTTATCGAATCGAAAGAAAGTAAAATCACAGAAATAACGAACTATTCACATCAACTACTTTACTTAAGATAATTTCGATTTATCTACTGATATTTGTTAGTTTAAAAACAACAAGTTTTTTGCTTTACAAAACTTGTAAATAAGCGGTTCAGTAAAATGTTCAGAAACCCTATTGCTCGGCGACGCGTAGCTTAAATTAAAAAACGAAGCGCCCTTTAAAAGATGTATCACCCATTTGAAAAAGTTATGGAATAAAGTTTCAGTGATGAAATTAATGTGTACACACACATATACAGGGTGGAACAAAAGTATTAAATAATGGCTTTAACTTTGTTATTTGCAAAGTTAAAAAAAAGTTGAATGTAAAAGTTATTTGGTTCATTACCAAGCATGTTTTGAGTTTTTTAGTTTGTTGATATTTTTTTTTATTGTGTTTCTATGGCAACCAATTTTTTTTTAAATTGCAAACCTACTTTTTCGGAATTTTCGGAAAAAGCATATTTTTCTCTATTCAGTTTATATACAAAAGTTTATATACAAAAGGGCTCTTTTAGTTCCACCCTTACTTCTTAAGAAGTCCCATAAGCCAACTGAATGGCTTGTGCGGGTTAGGGGTAGGAACGGACCGCGGGCTTAAAGTCCCTTCCGAAGGACTATTACACAATAGGAAAAACACAAATAAACAGCCATACCCCTGGTAGGATTCGAACCCACGACCTCCGGCTTGTAGTCAGCAGCACTAACCACTCGTCCACCGTCGGCGTGTTCTAAAAGTTCTTTATTCAAAATAACTTTATATACAAAAAAACCGATTTTACAAAAAAGTCATTTGCTATTGCTATTGTTTTTACATGAGACATGATTTAAATCAAAACAAAATTTTAGCTGGAATGCCCTTAACATTGTTATGGTTCTGGGTTTATTTCCTAAAAAATCTAAGGCTGTTATATCCGGAGAAGGTGTCGGACAGAATTGCAGAAACCAATTGAGGGGCTCGGTGCAAGAACCGGGTATATCCATATTCGGAAAATGTTCAGGAGGAAAGAAAAACATTGTTAAAACTTATTTTGCACAGTATAATTTCTGCGGTATCTCCTGTATCTGATATATTTAGTTAACGCTAACGTGGATCTGCACGGTTTGTGTACCGAACGATGCGGACTACTGAAGGGTGTATCTTCATATACCTAACTCAATTCAGCAAAAATATGGAGTTACCCGGTTCTTGCACCGAGCCCCTTAATTATTCAGCATGTTTTTTAATATGTAAACAGTTTTGTAGAACATATGTTTCGTTTCCTAGTAAAATTGATCCGAGACGTCAAATCTTGTTTGACCCTGCATAAATAGTGGTGGATTTTATCAACCTTTGCAACAGTGCAATAATAATAATATAAATAACCTAGGGACTGAGATACTCAAAATAAATCAGATATTTTTTCTTTTTCTTTTAGGGAATAATGGAAACGGCCATTCCAACGTCAGGCATATAAACAGCGTTTCTTTAATTGACAGGGCTTCAAGAATTCTATTTCCAGCATCTTTCGGCGTGTTTAATTTATTTTATTGGATGGTTTACTTTATGGCACAAGATGATTTCAAATGGGGTGACACCAAATTAAATTCATTAAATCATTAAAATAAAAAATTAATAGTAAATAGGTTACAGCTTTTCAGTATTACAAATAGATTGTTAAAATATAAAATAATGTTAGAAATGCTTTTTATTTACTGTGTAATTGTAGATTTACTTACCTTAAAATGTATGTTACATTAAACTTAAATCGCTTTGTAACTTAAAACTCCTTGTTTGTTATTTGGGTAAAATAAAATATTCGTTAGTATGATGAAATAAAAAGTTTATTATAAACCTGCCGAAATGTACAGAAAGCCTTTTGTACAAGAATAATAACTAAGAACATTCTGTATTGGAATTAATTTAATTTTTAAATGATTTAAAAAATAATATTTACAAATATGAGGTAAAAAAAACTATAAATGAATGTTGCCATGAATGTATAATGTATAATACATATATTTACAGATCATTTACAGAAATTTATTTTTTTACACAGCAATTTCTTTAAAATCGTTTTATAATATAAAATTTAACAGCAACGTTAACAAGAAATCTAATTGCTAATTTCTTGAACTTCATACTTAATAAGGTACTTTAAACATTCTAATTTAATAAATAAAAAAATGTTTAATTATGTATTCACATTATTGAATTGCATTTTCTAGAAAATGTTTAAAATATCTTATAGTTTAGTAGTAAAACCGTTAGTCTTAATACTAATAAACACCGGACACTTAAAAATATACATCAAAAATTAATAAATAGGTTTATTGGCAGTATTTTTATTTGGTGTTTAAAGAACTTATAGATATGCATAAAAAATACGAGAACGTTATCGTTATATCACATTTAAAAAGGGCGAACATAGATCTGGTTAATATTACCGAAGATTTAAAAACATTAATAATTAAAAAAAATATCGTATATTCTTAAAAAAAAAAACAAATAAAAAATCAATAATTGTTTTATAACCTCACATACAAATTTCATAAAATAATATGTAAAATTTGTCTAAAACTCCCTACAATTAAAAGCATATTTAATTTACAATTTGTATTCTCTAAGCACAATTTTAAGTTATTTAGTGTAAAATGTTTTTGAGGTATTTAAATAAATTCAATCAATACAAAAATAATACATTGTTGCCACAGTAAAAACTTATTGTAAAAATAAATAATTGGAAAATTAATTTATGTATATTACAAGATTTCCTTATAAATAAATAAAATCTAAACTAAAATGTTCACATATACCTTTACAATTAAGAAAAAGGCATTTGCTTGAACAATATTGCCCAGATGAAAACAATAAACTGCTTTTAATTATATAAAAATGATTTTATTATATTTAAATTTCATTTAACGTGATGCATTTTCACAAAAAATATGACATATTTAAAAAATGTTTTTAAATAAATTGATTAAAATGAAATAATATTCATATGGATTTTTTGATATATTGGCTCGGAGTAATCAATATATCGAAACAACCTTCCGACGAAAGGTAAAGACGAAAGGAAAACAAAAAGATACCATACCTTGTAGGTTAATTTTTTATTATTTCGACCACAATACCATCTGCACAATGCTGCCCAAGCCGGTGAAAGGTCGCGGGGGGCGCAGCCGCCACGATCAAATGTGACAGTTCGCGGTTGCGCTACCGCCTCCAGCACCTGCCGGGTTTCCGATGTCACTGCTGCTGGACGGTATGTCAATCGTGTGGCTTTCCTTGCCGAAAATCAGGCGCAAACGTTTCATTGGTACGTGCGGCACTTCAGAGGCGGCTTGCGGGTCGGTACCGCTAATGGCGGCGGCCGCCCTCAGCCGTCGCTCGCGCTTGCGGTCTTTCGATTTGTGACGCTTTTTGCGGTGTGAGTACGGTGTGTAGGATAGGTCGCCCACGCCTAAAACAACACACATTTGTTTTTTTTTAGCTTAATAAAATTATGTATGGAAGTCTTTTCAATAAAAACCGACGCAAAACCGAAGCGTGGCTGTAAGTCAACAACAAAAACAACTATCATGCATCCACACACTTCGGTTTTGATCAGATAAGTATATAGGGCCCTTTGTCCACATGTATCTAAGCACAATTGGCTAGAAAACTAAAAAAAAAGTATCAAAAAATCGTGAATAAACCATACAACTTAAGGTTTAAAATAAAATTATTTATTATTTATATGTATTAAGCTAAATAACAAGCTAAACCAGTTAGTTTTAGAACACTACAACATAAAGTTTAGGTATATGCTCCTCGGCGTTTAAAAAGGAAGTAAGTAATAATGTAAGGTCACGTAAACAAAATTAATTTAAAATTTACTGCAACACTATCATGTTTTTAATCTAATAAGGACGGAATAGAAAATTTCTATTAGATATAAATTAAACAATAGATGAAAGGTTTGATCCTACTGAACATTTGGACGCAAGATACATACACCTTAAGATGGGATGGTGCGCATGGTGGGCGGAGCTAAAATACGTCACATGACGTCACTTGATGAGTAGTTTTAAATCTCTAACGTTCGTTTTAATTATCTGCCGCTAAAATTCTGGTTTTTGCGAAGCTGTTAGATGTTAAATTGCTCTGTTTTTTTGTTTAACTTGTTGTTTTTGAGTTCTGTAAGGTTAGAATTACTTTTCAGTGTTTAAATTATTGTTATTGCGTTGTGTTAACCTGTTCTGTTTGTACTAAAATTATTGTTTTTGTGTTTCGTTGTTTTGTTTGTGTATTAGTTTGTGTTGTGCCATTTGCATTTATTAAAATGCGGTGTGCCATATTTGGATGCATTTCGGACAACCAGTTCAAGAAAAACCCTACAAATAAAGACATTAAATTCCATCGATTTCAGAAAAACATAAGTTTGTGCAAAAAGTGGTTACATGCCACGAAAAGAAGAGACAAAATTAACGTTAAGCGCGCTACTGTTTGCTCTAAACATTTTCTGGACATTGACTACAACTTTAATTTGAAACATAAACTCTTGAAGGTGGGAGTAGAAAAAGACAATTAATTTTAAGTGTTAAGTATTGTGTAACAGGCTGAAGGACCCTGTATGTATATTTTGTACCTATTTTATGTTTTGTAGTACTCAGTATGCAATAAAAACTTTATTTATTTATTTTATTTAATTTGTTTATATATTTTTAATTTATTGGTATTCTTTGTTGTATTTATTTAAATAAAAAATTTAACATTTTAAGACATTTTATTTATTGAAAGTGTAAGGCACAAATATGAAAAATACCAAATTTCTACAAACTTTTAAGATTAACATAAGTATACAAAACTTCAGGTGAGTTTAGAACCCTCTGTGCCTTTTTAAAAACATTAGTTTGAATTTATAAAGTCAAACTAATTTTTTTTTTAAATATTAACAAAAGGTTTAGAATAAATCAATACAAAAATAAAAAATCCCAGTAATTTATGAAATTTTTCCGGTTATTTTCGTAGGTAATTCAAATTTAAATAAATATTTTTGGTTAAAATTACCTATATGTATTTTCTTTTAGTAATAAAAAATACATTTTAATAGATTTAAATATGTTTCCAAAACATAGCATTTATATTATTACACTATGGTAATATTGTTATTGTACTATTGTTTTCTTTTAATTAATTTTTTTTTAAATAGATTTAAATAGTATCAAATATTTTTCCAACGCATCTTGCATCCATATTAATAAACTATCTTTAATATCAAATTCACAAAAACGCACTATGTCCAGATATTTCTTTATGTTTTGATAATATTACTAGCATCCATATTAATAAAATACTTTTAATATCAAATTTACAACAAAAAATAGATTTAAATAGTATCAAATATTTTTCTAAATCATCTATCATCCATATTATAACACTTTTTTCAATATCAAGTTTAAAAATAACGCACTATGTCCAGATATTTGTCTATTTTCTTTGATAATATAGCTATTATACGTGTATTCGCGCTGCAACTACTCATAAGGTGACGTCATGCGCGGCGCGAACCAAAACTCGTCCGCGGGAGCATCCAGCCCTGATTTGGACGTCAGGGACATGGGCATTTCCAAAATCACATGCGCCGTACTAAAATAGGGACGTGATTTTTAAATTACGCATGTCCCAGACGTCAAAATGCTCGGTAGGAACAAGCCTGAAGTTAACATGGTTGACAGATGCATTTTCTGTCGAAAAATTCAAACTTTAGAATAATAGATATTATTAAAAAAATATTAAATTAATATTTATATAAAGGGTGTCCCAACAAGAGCGCCGGATTTAAATTTGCCGGCATTTTGTTAATACGAGTAGTACGGTGATTTTTTTTTCCACAGTTGATACGTACAGACCACGCGATTTAAGAGAATTATTCAAACGAACAACGTTTAATTATTGTAAAAATAATGGTGAAAATTTTGCAAAAACAGTTCGCCAATTACGTCAAGTTTTTGGATGCAATTATGCGCCAAATGAATCGACAGTGAGGCGTTTAATTACAAAATTTGGGACCAACTCTGATGGATCAGAAGCCCATTTTCGTCATCGTCCTTGTCGGTCACTCAAAAATATAGCCACAATAAGGGAATCAGGAACTTCCATTTGGCATCGTGGTCAAGAATTAAACATTGTTAACGGAGTTTTTGTGGCCCGAATGGGATGTAATTGATTTGGAGGACATGGTTTTCGAACAAGACGGTGCGACCAAGTTTCCAGGCCGTGTCATTTCTCAATTTGGTGATCACCATTGTCTAGCGCCGATGAACTTTTTTCTTTGGGGCTAAAAGCTCATTCACAACAACTTAATATGCGTAACTTAACTTAACTTAAGAAACCTACGTCTGTTAAGTTGTCTGTTTACATTAACTTAATACACGCAAAGAACGCAATATACAAGCACCCGCAATGTAGATATAAATGTAGACTGGGTTGCCTATCTATCTATAAAAGTGAAACAACAAGATAGCGCTATATCGTCCCGGACAACATTCGTGATATTCATACGAACATCATGTCGTGATTTTCACAAATTTTATTCATACAGATATCATACGGAAGTCACCGCGTGATAAATGAAAATCATACGAACGTAACGTCGTGATTTTCACAAATTCATTCATTCATTCATTCATACGGACATCATCCGGATGTCACTGCGTGAGAAATGAAAATCATGGCAGAAAAAATCATGTCGTGATTTTTTATGCCAACGGTGTTTGGATAATCATTTTTGCGCTACGTTCGTACACTAAGAGAAAAATTATGTTGAATCAACAGTGTTTGCGGTTAAATACATTCAATATTTTCTTGGATTTAAATTAACTATATATAAATATTGAATGTTAAACTGTTGATTCAATTCTTAACACCGATGGCATAAAAAATCATGTCGTGATTTTTTAGGCCTTCGGTCAATCGCAAACAGTGATGGCATAAAAAATCACGACATGATTTTCATTTCTCACGAAGTGACATCCGGATGATGTCCGTATGAATAAAATTTGTGAAAATCACGACGTCACGTTCGTATGATTTTCATTTATCACGCGGTGACTTCCGTATAATATCAGTATGAATAAAATTTGTGAAAATCACGACATGATGTTCGTATGAATATCAAGAATGTTGTCCGGGTTCAATTAAAAAAGATATTCCAATGTTTAACAAAACGTGAACGTGATATTCAAACAACGTTTTATAAATTATACCGGTGTAATGTGAATAACAAACTAGGTTTTAAATTCGCAGTCCGCAGGGCTCATACGCATGCGCAAATTTTGCAAATATCACACCGTGAGTTCTACATGATATCACTGTGATGAAGCATGTGTATGCACTCAGGATATCACAGCGTGATAAAAAAAATTACGTTGTGATATCATCATGACTTCACCAGGAAATCCCGATTGTTGTCCGGGGTTTTACTGGGCATGTGATTGGCTCTATCTATAAAAGTGAAACAACAAGATAGCGCTATATCGTTTTACTGGGCATGTGATTGGCTCACGTAAGAAACATATTCCCTTACGCCGTGACTAGAAGTACACCGGGAGTACGGGCATTAAACGTACATCAGGTTTGTGCGCATGCGTGTTTCCATACCAGCTGATGGTAAAATTTCGGATTTATTAGTTGAGATTAAATTGGTACAGTGGCGGACACAGAATTAACTGGACGAAAGCCGTTCAAAATTCCGTGTCGGCCAAACTCAACAAGCCAACCCAACCGACCCCGCCCCATTGGCCCCCCCGCCCCATTGAGCGACCATTTAATATTATACAATTGACAAATATGCTAAATAAGGATTTTTTTCCACCCGGTGTACGTTTAATGGCGGTACTCCCGGTGTACTTCTAGTCACTTTAATTCACTTAAGTTGAGCCGGACCCAACTTTTGGATAAGTTAAGTTACGTGTGATAAGTTTTCTACAAATATAAACAGCTGCATTGGTTTCAATGTATTTCAACTTACGTCTATCACGTACGTTAAGTTAAGTTACGCGTATTAAGTGGATGTGAATGAGCTTTAAGTGTAGGAAAAGGTGTATGCCTTAAACAGTTGAACATCTTAAAAAAGAAATACGGCGCGTTATTGGTGAATACAGCCACATTTAAGCGAAAACGTTATTTAAAATTTCAACAGAAGAATAACCCTATGCCAGAGGTTTCGTGGTGACCATTTGCCTGATGTTGTATTTCACGTTTAATCGGAACTATTTTTATCTCTTGTTGGGACACCCTTATATACAGTGCTTGCAAATCCAAGTCCGACCGGGTTGGGAAGGACGCGTGAAAATAACAAGGATAGAACGCCAAACAGAAGGCGCTTACAATACGCAGGCCTGCCGGCTCTGACCAATCAAATTCTGTTTGGCATTCTATCCTTGTTCTTTTCACACAGGTATTGAACAACCGTCCTTC